CAGCTGTTTTCCTGAGGTGGGATCTCTGCACCCGCTACATGGAGCGCTTCCCCAGAGCCAGGGAGCCCGTGCCAGGCTCCGGCTCCAGCCCCTGGCCCCAGCCTCCAGCCCCCAGCTCCAGCCCCTGGCCCCTGGTTCCAGCTTCCAGCCCCCTTCAGTAAGTGTCCCATGCCGGACTGAGGCGGCGCGTTCACATACTGACGCGGCGCGCTCATGAACCGCTGCTCCTTAGAGGGAACACTGGCAGAGCTCCGGAGGTTTTGGGGCACGGTTCAGCCCAGTTGCTACAGGCAGCTGGTGTTGGCTGCTCCTGGGACCAGGATGAGTGCCATGCCCTGTGCCAGCCAGGGCTCTGCTTGTCTGCACTCACTCCAGCCTGTGCTGGAGCGGCCCCAGGGGCAGCTGACACCAGCTGCTTGCACCAGGGCATGGTGCAGCCTAGAAGCAGAGGTGAGTGTGGACACGCGGAGTCCTGGGCAGCGCAGGACACGGCACTCACCCCAGAGGCCAGGTGTGGGGGGGGTCAGGGGGAGCACAGTGCAGCTGGCCGCTCCCAGGACGAGTGGGGCCATGGCCCTTTCCCCTCCCCCACAGACTTACCTGCTTGGGCAGGGGGGACGTCAATGCTGATCGCATAGGAGTGAATTTACCCCACATAAAACAAATTATGGGTCTAAATATGCTCATTGCATAAGAGCAAATTTGCATGTGAAGAACCTGCATAAATTGAGGGAAACCTGTATTAGAGAGAAATCTGCCCCAGCATGTAGACAAAAGTCTTTTGATTGCACTGAGAACCATAACCTGACCTCCCATTAGCATTCGAAAGTCCCAGAAGTTAATGCTTTGCAGGCAAACAAACCAAGCCCAAAAGACTTACCTTCAACACTGTTTTATTGTCTGAAGATGGTGTCCGCCCAGACCACAAGGCAAACTTACAGGGATCTCCTTCAACATGCTCAGTCACTCCCAGTTCTGAGGTCTAGGAGAGAAGAAGTGATGGGAGAAACGACTTTGTGACTGAAGCATTTTGGTTTCAAAAACTTTTACACTGAGAACTTGTCTCTTTTGGTATGCTGCACCCTGATGAAATCAATGCAAACCCAGCAATGGCTGCCAGGCAGAGGTGTCCGACTGGCTCAGATGACCCCCACCCACACAATCATTTTT